GTAGTAGGCTTAGAACTCTCTTACTTAAACAAAAGGGGGAGGTGTTGTGGGAGTAACTTCCGCTGCCTCAACCAATAATCACTGAAGCAGGAGCCCACAGTGCAGCGGGGAGCGACTTCCGCTCCGTCAGCCAATAGCTGCTGAAATACCAGCCCACTGGGGCGTGGTATATTTCTCTTTTAAAAAGAGAAGCAGTTCCGGATAAGGCCCTCTTGGTTCCGGCTCTTGGTTCTGGTGCTCGGTCTCGGCTGCTGCTCCCGGCTCCTGCTCCAGCGACTAGGCTCCCTTCCTGACGGTTTATGGTGTATGTAAGTTTTACCCCCCGCCAAATAAATAACCCCTTAAAACATAACTGGTGTGGGATTGATTCGTTAATAGAGTTGTTTGAATTGAGAACTGGACAATGGAAATAGGACAGGACGCTGGGTTTTGAGAGATGTGACAGGTGTAGTTTGGGATATGTGGCATTTTGGTGCCAGAAGCTGTTTGCTGTTAGTGGATCTGTTTCTGAGGATGGGTCGGGTGGATCTTTAAGTATGAGGAAATGGATGCCATGCTGAAAAGATCCCAGTGTGAATAGCACCTCTCCAACTCGCAAGAACCAGAGGCTATTGGCAGCCTCTGCATTTCATCCTCCCAAGAGCCCTCTCCACAGTCCCTCGGGAGACCCCACACACTGATAGATGAGCAGTCACGAGCCCCACACTCATCCCCCTGTTCCCTGAGAGCAGCAGTTCCCAAGGCTCTGTCCTTTGTAGAGAGTTGGCTCTGGACACACTCTGCAGCCTCTTATGACAGCTACTTCATGAAGCCTCAATTGTTATTCAATGATGTGAGCCCTGTAGAACTCTGAGCACAGGTACCTGACACATAATGACCATTTTGTAAGTGTTAGCTGTCACAATTAGGGCCTCTACTTGAGACTTATTTCCCTCTTCTGTAAAGTAGATAGTCCCTCTCCAGGCTCACAGGTGTGTACTATGAACAGACAAGGATTTACCAGGAAATCATGTACAGAGAAACTTAGCACAGTTTCCTCCCCTAACTGGACTTACATTACTATTAATAATAAATATTAACATAAGTAAGAAAATTCCAGAAAAAAACTATATATCCCATTGCCTTGCTTTCTCACCCACCCACATGCCTCCAAGTGCCACCCTCCTCATCATGCCTCTGCTTACCACCATTTCATCTAAAAGCAAGAGAAAATTCAGCGCCCCCGCCCCACAAATGAGCAAAGTAAGCTCTTCCTTTTCCATTCCTTCCAGTGGTGTCTGGACGGAGGAGAGGATTCTGGTGTGACATCATTGCACACCTATAGAAGTGCATGCTCTTCTAGTGGGGGAAGTTCCTCCTGGAAGCCTGGCTTTCCACTGTGGGAGCCTGGCCTTAGAGCACCCTCTGCAAACAGCATTAAGACTGTCCTATAGCAATGACACTATTCGAGAATTTTGAACTCAGGTAGGGAAGGAGAGGGAGAGACCTTTGGGACCTCTTGTGAGCTTGACCCAATCAAATCACAGAAAATCTGCACTCAGCTCACCACTGCTGACCTTGAAGGCTACCAGGTGGCCAAGTTCCCTTCCTCTTCAACAGGTGATGTCCCCAATGAAGCTTCCTGAGGTCACATAGCAGAGATATTTTCTGATCACTGGGAGTTAGGTTTGCCAGACACGCTTGCTTGCCAGCAGCAGGCCGAGTCAGACAGTCAGTGCCGGGGTTTTTACCACCGTGTCCTGTTTTTGTCTTGCTTTCAGTGGGCTCTCCCCGAAGTCCTGTGAATAAGACCACCCTGACCCTGATCAGCGTCACCAGCTGTGTGATTGGCCTCGTGTGCTCCTCTCACGTCAGCTGCCCTCTTGTTGTCAAAATCACCCTTCATGTCCCCGAGCACCTGATTGCTGATGGTGAGCTCATTCCGCCGAAAAGGTGACAGCTTCTTCAGTCAGCAGTTTTCAGGCTGGGCAGAGGACAGACCAAGCAAGGGCCACTGTCGTGGGGAAGAGGGATGTGCTCCAAACAGGAAGGAAGAGGATACACTTAGATTGTCTACCGATGACCTAAGAAATTGAGCTAATCAAACTGAATGGGTCATCTCTGTTTCTCTACGACCATAGAGAAATGCAAAGCACACTGGCTACAGGTGGATGGATGCCACAGTCCTTTAGTGTTCGAGAAAGGAAAAGCTAACTGGGACAGTCAAGGTGTTTAAGGCTCAGCCATGCTTTGGTTTGCTTCTCCCAGTTGAGAGATTGCTTACTGCATGAAGTTGCTGTAAACTGAGACTTCAAAAGTAAGAATTTACTTTCATCCAGGGGATCCCCAATATAATGAGGGAGTACCATAGGTTCTGAGAGTTCCTGAGCCATTTAAACCCAGAGCACCTAATTGACTTGTTAATGTCTGTTCTCTGGTTGCTGCAAGGCTGGAAGCAGGTGGGGGACATTCACAGCATCCGAAAACCTGCTATTTCAGGGCAAGCCACGGCAGGGAGTGGGTCCCTGTTACCTGACCCAGTGCCAACGCCTCGTGGCTAAGTCTGATGGAGCCATGCCATGGTCACCACAGAGCCACTCTGTCCCTCTATCCCTGAGGAACACTCCAGCAATATGGGACAGGGCACAGCAGTAGGGAATGATATAGCTGGAAGGCTTAATGACTCTGACCTCCCAGCAGTCATTGTGATGGCAGAACCTCCATCTGCCAGTCCCTCACACTAGTACTAATGGTAGGCAAGGACTGGTGAGTGTAATGGCCCTGGATTAGGACACCGTCATCTCTGATGACTTGCGCTTATGTATTGTGTGTGCATCGGCAGACACGTTTCTTCTCTGTCACCCTGTAGGGAGCCGCTTCATCCTGCTGGAGGGAAGCCAGCTGGATGCCAGTGACTGGCTGAACCCTGCCCAAGTGATTCTCTTCTCGCAGCAGAACTCCAGTGGGCCCTGGGCCATGGACCTCTGTGCCCGGCGGCTCCTGGACCCTTGTGAACATCAATGTGACCCCGAAACTGGTAGGCGGGAGCACCGGGAAGCGGGTAACTGTCAGAGAGAGCATGCCTTTTGCAATCACTCCCTTGAGACTCAGATCATTTCTCCCAATTCCACTGTCCCCTTTCCATTTCGTGAGTAGACCGCCCATGGATATCACCATGTGTTGAGTCACTGAGCATAAAAACCTGCAATAGTCTGGCAGGAGCCTGGACAAGATCTTAATTGCAGCCTTATTATGGAAAGGACAGTTTGGAACAACCTCCATTGCCCATTTTGTCATTATCTACCTACTGGGACTAGCCATTTTATAATTGCAAAATTAATTTATGTTTATTATAAAAAATAGTATAGAAGGAAATGATAGTCATCTGGATTTCTGTCTCCTAGATAAATCACTTTAAAACTTTTTATGTCTTTTCTTTCCATCACTAGCCTTTGCATAGTTTTAAAAAGATTTCCTGGAAGCATAGGAAGTCCAGTTGAGTTTTCCTGAATTTGTGTCCTTAATATTCTATTGTATGAATTTTCCATAATCATAATCTTCAGTAACATTTTAATGGCTATTTGCTGTTGCACTGTGCATTTGTATCACAGCTCATTTAAACAGCCTCATTACTTTAAAGTTAGAAGGCTCTCAGGTTTTTGTTTTTATAAGTACTGTTAAAACAAACCTCTCCACAAGGAAATGTAGGGCACATGGGAGGTTATTTTTCTTCCAATGAATCTTAGTGATAGATCACTGCACAAAGGCTGTAGACGTGTTTAAGTGTGTTACTCCGTCAAGCAAGGCGAGGGTAGTTCTGAGTAAGGCTCAGATTCAGGTGGTGTGAAGTGCAGCTGCTGCCTTACCCCGGAAGCATGCGTGCTGGGGAGCCTGGGTCTGTATGCCAGAGAAATGTATACTTTTGTGGCAGGAAAAGGTTTACTCTTCTGGTTATCATGGCAGAATATCTAGCAGAAGCAACTTAGAGGAGAGGGGTTCTATTTTGGCTTGTAGCGGAAGGGAACACAGTCTATCATGACAGGGAAGGCTTGGTATATGGGGTTTTGCCTATGATGGAGGGGAGTGGTGGCGTGGCTTATTACATCTTTCTGGACCAGAAACCAGCTCTCACTGGAAGTGGAGCTAGCCTAGAACCTTTAACCCTTACCTCTCCCCCTGTGGCTCTACACCTGCCAGCAAAACTTCCTGTCCAAAAGTTTCTCCAGCCTTCCACTGCCACCAACTGGGGACCATGTATTTAAACATGGAAGCCTATAGACAAAATTTCACATTCAAACTATAATAAGAGGTTCATAAAGAGTGGCCTCTACACAAAGACCATTTTCAGGAACTAGAGTATCACAGGTAGAATCTCCCTGGAGAAGTAGTGTAATACTATACAATAAAGGAAAGAGTTGTGAGCCAAATCCTCAAGATCTTTGTCTACCATGTGGAACTCTGGAGAGAGAGGCGGGGTGTTCAGCAAGGACTTTCTACAGATGTGGCCTAAGATATACAATGTGCATTTTTTGGTACTCTATTATTAAATCTCTCTGAGAAAGTAGCAGGTAACTGTGACATCTAAAGTTCATGTTCTTAGGTTTTAAACTTATTTTACGTGGGCCCATGACAGAGATTCTAGGTCCCCATATGGAGGAGAAAGTACAGCACTTTCAACATCTGATGTCTAAGACGGTGCTTACTCGCCGTTCCTCCTACGCTGTCAAGGCAAACACCAAACCAAACAGATGGGCTGTGCACCGTGCCCAAAAGCTAGCGTGCTTGGAAGAAATTAAAAAGAGCTTGTCTCAGAGGTGGGAACTCTCCATGTAGCAGAGCTGGCCTCTGGTACCCTTGTTCTCCAGCTGGTTAGGATTAGGAGGATTTGGGACAATCTTAGCTGTTAAACTCACTTCTGAGAGCAACGAGAACTCCAGAGAACCTTGCATGCTTCCTTTTTGCCTTGAAAGGAAATAAAGGGCCCACAGTTACACATGGAAAGGAGGGGACTGGTTGTTCTATGCTTGGGAGGGTTGGACACCAGTCACCTTCTTACCTTGCCTAACGTTTGATTATCTGGGCCAGATTTGCCCAAAGTCCTTTGGCTACCTACAAGGAGAGTTGGTCTTTAACCTTTCATGAAACCAAGCAGAAATAAGGCTATCAAAGGTAACATGGTCTGTTCAGATATGCCTACTCCAATATATATGTCACTCAACTCTTTAGGAGGCAACCTGTACTGAGCATTCGTTATTGTTGGGTGTGCCAGGAAGTTGGTTGTCTGTACCAAAGAAGTCTTCCTGTCTACCCTTCAGCCCCTTCCAGATGTTGAACTTCTAATCCTTCCTACAAAATGACTTCAGCAAGCCCCTCCCCTGCAAATTGTTTCCTGGTATCTGTGATAACCAATGAATTACCAACTAGAAAGTCACAAGGGTACTAAAAATAGGAACCCAAGACCTGCAGCTAAGGTAGGACATCTCCATTTGGTGCGGCAGCTGAGAAACGATGCTGTGGAGCCTCTCGTTTTCATTAACGCTGGAATTGGAAACCCCCTCCCGTGCTTCTTCTCTCTGCACATGGAATGATGTGGTCATCCCACACGCTCATCACTAAGAAACTTTATCGCCTCCCACACTCCATCCTAGAGCCTTTCTCCAAAGAGCTGAGTGTGGGAATTGGCTCCGAGTCAAGTCGACGTTATTTTTTGCAATCCTCCAGCTAGCTTACTTGGAAATGTCAGAGTGTTGGGACATGTGCTTTCCCAGCCGAGCCGAGGGGTCTGCCCATATGGATTCATAGGGCTGTGCAAATGCACTTGTGTATTTTTTTCACGCAGACACACGTACCCATAAACACACAAGCACACAAACACAGATGCTCAGGCACTGGGAAGGAGCAGCCTTTGGTGCCTGGAGCTCCCCTTAGGCAGCCTTCCTAAAAGTGTCCCAAATCTACATGTGTATTTAGACATCATTTGCACAGCACTCCACAACACCAGGTGTGAGAGACAGAAACGTGGACTCACTCCACCAGAGGCCCACATCCCCCTTCCCACAATCTGTAGGTGTGTCATGTTGCATGCCAAAGGAAGGTAAAATGGTAAACAGAGCTGAGGTTGCCTAACAGCTAGTGTTACAAAGGCAAGATCACCCTAGATTATCTGGGTGTCCCAGTTCAATGACAATACTTCTCCAAAGTAGAAGGGAGAGCAGGTCAAAGTACCATGATGAAAGAATGGTTCATCAAGGTATTGTATACTTTGAAGATGAAGGACGAGTCATGAACCAGGCGTGCAGGCAGCCCTTAGCAGGGGGAGAAGCAAGGAAGCAGATTCTTGCTCATAGTCTCCAGAAAGGAGCGTAACTCTGTAGAGACTTGCTCTGAAGGCTCTTTGATCTTAGCCCCAGAGAACCCATATTAGTCCCCTCTGGCCTATACAGGCATGGCACAATGAGTTGATATTGCTTTAGACACTTGAGTTTGAGATGGGCAATAAATATGACAAAGGAAGAATAGAAGAGCTGAAGGAGGGAAATGGGTTGTGTTCCCTCTTCCTATACCGCCATCATGATCTCAGAACTCCTAAAGATGTGCGGGGGCTGCCTATGTACCAGGGCTATAGGAAACTTGCTGGGTTATTTCAGTTCCAGCCTTCCCCTCCACTTACATTCTGACACCGTGTTACATGGGAGGGGCGGAGCTCAGAGACCAGCCTGGACAATAGCAAACTGTCACTGGCAAATGTTCTAGTCATCCCAACTGATCAGACCTGGTTATGCGTGGGTGGGATTGAGAAAGTAGAGACAAGATGTCTGTACCTGCCACCTGCAGCTTCGCTGAGCACCGTGATCCTCTTCTGTCAGATATCAACTTGTGACGGGTCAGTCCTAGGACCCAGGTTTGGGAAGATCTAGGATGCTTTTAAGTTCGGTTCAGACTGCTGATGACTTCACACGACAGACTGTGGTCCATCTCCCCACTGCTTTGTAATGACAGGTGGGAAATGATTATGGCAAGAATCACGCTAGGCAGTGTTTATCAGGAGCTCATCATGTTGACCCCAAGCGTAGACAATCAAAACTCCCTCACAATACTACAGAGTGACAATATTTTTATCCTCACTTTAGGACAATGTTGCCAAACTGCCTTAACCACTGCCTAGTTAAGACCCAGCTGAACTATAGCTCAGGTTGCACGCCAGACCAGAATTCACAAGTCTGGTCCTTTTACGATGTTTCTCCTAATGTTGCCCTTCTGGAAGGGAACCTAGATGGTGGGCTTAGGATTCTTCTCTTTCCTCCTGAGTGACTGTTGAAAGCCTCAGTTTCTGATGAGGGTGTTTGCCAACTACCAGTCTTCTTGTCCACCCTGCCAGACTGGCCTCTCAGGAGCATCTCTGGTCGAGCTGAGATAGTGACAAAGCCTGAAGGTTGTGTAGTGTGGTGTCTACTGGGTCCTATCTTAGGCTGACGCTTCCTGTAAGTTCTAAGGGGGAACACTTTGCAGTTGTTTGTTTTTATTTTGTCTGCTGGAGGCAGACTACCTAGCTGCATCGGCTTTCTCCCTGCTTGCTCTAAGCCTCTGCTCTGCCATCTGAGCAGCAGCCGAGGCCGAGATACCTGCTTTACTTCTCAGCCACCTCAGTTCTGGCCACAGCCTCCATTGCCTTTTTCAAGCTTTGCATTCTTTTTTTTTTTTTTTTTTTTTTTTTTTTTTGCAGGCATACATGAAAACTCAAACTTGGCTGTTTTAGTATCTATCTAATATGTCCTCCTCAAAACCCTTGTTTCCCAGATCTTTCTATGGCCGACACGAACAGGTCAAAATGTATCACCCTGCTAAGGGACATGGGCCAGGTTTCCAGACAACTCAGCCTCAGCTTCTTTGCTTGTTCTGAGTCACTGTGTGCCCCTCTCTCTGCACCCCATCTCTCTCTATCTCAGGCATTTTTAACCCAATTAATCAGGAGAGCTCAGCCTCCATTTTGTTGCTATAACCTAGAGTGAACATTCATCCCCAGTTTACTTCTGTAACTCCATCAAAACACCCTTTTCCTTCAGGGGGAGTGTTACCATGTTCCAAGTCTTCTTTCTCAGTTTCCTGGGGGTTGTTCAAACCTGGGCCTGCCCCATTCCTGCTAATGCCCAGTGGTGGGGGATTATTAGACAATTTGGTGTTATCCATGTCCAGATGAACATTTCTCTTTTTAGACAAGGGACAGCCAGTCCTATTTAATAAAAGCCAACCACTACTCGAAGCAGTGTAATGACTCAGGGCTTCTGGCCTTAATTTGGTTTTATAATAAAACAAACTGTGGTGAACACAGTCAACCCAAGGAACCCTTGCTTCAAGGCCTTTCTTAATTCTTAGATGAAGTTGTGACTCAGTCCTTCAATTGTAAAATGAACAAAGGTTCTGCCTGTTCACCATGAAAGGTGGCTCAAAGGTGTTTGTCCCCAAGGTACCAAGCAAAAGTAGGTACAGAGGTCTCTATCCGCTGTGCCAACATCTTGCAGTGGGCTTTCTTCCCTGACAGTGTGATCCACAGAATTGCTCCTGCAGCCGCTGTGACGTGTTACACTCTCCTTGCTGGGCACTTTTCCATGACCATGCCATGTCTCTCCATTGGATTCCTATGTACACCGCCACAGCGTCCGTGCCTCATGTGTTCCCTACCATCTGTCACAGCAGATGCGGAGACTGTAACACTTCGGCTTAGGAGGGCATCCAACACCCTTGTGGGGTCTTTAAAATTCACAGCTAACAGTCGGAGTCTGTGCTTACACGAAACCCCTCTTAAAGTCAAGATTTAGCAGTTGGTTTCCATAGTAACTTTCCTCATCAAGTCTGAACTCCTTGCAGTATAGATGGCCAAACTGGATTGGGGAGGAATAAAGAAGAGGGAAGTTTGGTGGATCCTAGAAATGAGGATCTGTTGAGAGGCAGATTTTGGATATCCCCAAACTCTAGCCTGGTCTGTTTGACAATTCCTGATTCTCTGACTTTGTGTGGCATATGCCATTATATGGAAGAAAGCTTTATCTGTTGTCAGCAGCTTGTCCCCACATGGTAATAAGTGATGGAAGACTCATGTGGAGATAATGACCATGAAAGCAATCTGAGAAGGTAAACGCACTGCACAAATGGTAGGTATTTACGTCATTAGGAAAATAGGTCTCTGCTTGAACCTGGAGTTGTTACTGAATTTATTTTTACATGTTTTGTGGTAACCAGATACCAGATGTAGAAGAAGCTACTCTTTTATCATTAATCCTTAATTCTAGACAAGGGGTCCAGCTGAGAGTATTCTTGTTCTGTGTTTTTGTTTTTGAGTCAGAGTCTCATACAACCCGGGCCGGCCTTAAAATCACTCTGTAGCTGAGGATGACCTTGAGCTTTTGAACCTCCTGCCTCTCCCTCCCCGGTGCTGGGATGATAGGCGTTCTCTACCCTGTCTAGTTTGTGTGAAGCCCAGAATGAAACATAAGGTCTCAATGCATGCTGAGCAAGTATTCTACCAATGAGCTGTAACCCCAGCTCCAGTTGAGACCATTCTGGGAATCAGAATGTTGTGCTCGACACTCTCTTATGGTTACACACTCTTTACTAGCATTCTAATTGGCAACAAGGACAATCAGAAGAGTATATTTCCCACATGAAAAGATATATTTGAGCTTTCAACCTGTTAATTCATATATATATATATATATATATATATATATATGATGTTGTTATCTGTAAACCAATCAAGTTTTATTTGCTTTTTTCTTTTTGTGTATGTATGATATATCCTGTGTGTGCACATGTATGCAGGTATGTCTTTGGGTGTGCAATAGAGTCTGGAGATCCACTTCAGCTATCTTCTTTTATTGCTGTCTATACTTTTGTTTTTTTAAATTGACACAGGGTCTTTAACTGAATCTGGAGTTCACCCCTTCTGGTAGAGTTCTCTAGTCTCACCTGTCTCTACCTCAAGACCTAGGGTTACAAGTACACATTGTTGTGGCTGGCTTTTATATGGGTGCAGGGAATCCAAACTCAGGTCCTTATAGTTGAGCAATACATACTCTACCACTGAGCCACATTCTTAGTCTAAACATTTTAATGATTTAACTTTGAACCGTAATTTGATGGTTAGTATTGATTGCCAACTTCACACGACCTAGAATCATGGAAGAAAGAAGCCTCTGCGCATGTCCATAAGGATTATTTATGGTAAGTGAGGTGAGAAGACCTGTCCTATATATAACAGTTACTGTCCCATGGGCTAGAGTCCCAGACTGCATACAAAGGACGAAGACAGCAGAGGACCAACATTTATCGTCCTTTGCTTCCTGATTGCAGATGGCACCTTCCTGCCACTGTGATGGACTGTACGGATGAGCCAAAGTCACCCATAAATTGCCTTTGCCTAGAGCCTGTCACAACACAGGACTATACCTATGAAAAGCCTATCTGTTTGAGGAAATTAACATTATTCTTGCCCTGTGTACTTTGCAGTTTGGGGTTTGTGCTTTTTTTGAAACTCTTAAGGTATAAAGTCTGATTCTCCTTTTACTTTGCCCTAGTACCTCCTTTTTAAATCTTAATTTTCTTTCTTTGTATCAAAAGGTGGTCATTGTTGACAGATTTTTTATCACTAGCAACCCAATTTCAAGCTGTATTTTTTGATGTTGCACTTTAATCTCCATGGTCATTTGTAGCTATAACCTAGTACCAGTGAAGGTAATAAATTTGGACCCAAAGCAGGTCAGTAGGTTCCAGCACAGCCTGTGATGCTAGCGTCAGAATTTGCTGTACATGAAACAGTGTACTGATCTCTAATATTCCTTAGATTTATCTAAAATTAAGAAGTTACCCATTTTCACTAGTCCACCAGTTGAGTGCTTTGCGGATGAGGGTTAAGTAACTATTATTTGGTATAGAGGCCCTGGGAGGCAATAGCTTCTAGGGAAATCTTAAAATGTATGAGCTAAATTCTTAAACAAAAATTATCTTGCTCACACTGTTCAGACTCTTCTCCTCTCATATCAGGCACATTCTCTTTATTTTTATTAAGTTTTATTTTCATAAAGAGGAAATAACATTTAAAGCTGTTATTTTATTTATATCTACCTTGTTTCTCTTCCTTGAGAGATAAATAAACTGTATGTATATTGTCTCCTCAGGACTTGGTACCTTTGTAAATTTGTTATTTACTAATTTCAGGAAATCACACTTTGTTATTTCATTGGTTATAAATTAAATAATCAGTCATTAGAAGATTAAAAGCAAATGCTTTAATGTAACATGTCACAGTAGCTTAGGAATAAGTAGTGTCATATACAAAAACAGTCACATCAGGAAGCAGTGGCTGCTGTCTTCAGGACTGGTCCTCAACAGAGCTATGGGTGTCAGTCCTTTGGGAGGTCTCACGTTTGCTTCTTAACTAGATAAGCATCATGCAACCCTGCCTCGGAAAGGGTGAAGCCCACAAATAGGTAATCTTACATGCAATTCCAGAAGCCTATTGGACGTCTTAGAATGCAAAAATAAAACTAACAGCAACAATAACAACAACAACAACAACAGCAACAAACTCCCAGAAAACTAATGAGGAGAAAGAACAGGAAGTCTGAGCTGTGCAGGGTGGAGGCGATGCTTGTTTACTAGCTTCAGAAGATAACTAGGCACTTTTCGCTAGAAAACGTAGTTCCCATCAAAACAGAAGAGAAAAATTGCAACCTCCTTTAAATGCCATGGCAGTTCTGTGGACTCAAAACATCCGTGATGACAGTATCTCAAGTGACATCATCATAGGTTCTAATACTGTCATTTTTAAGAGGCTTACAAGTCTCATACCTTGTCCAAGGCTTGACTTCCCTTATCAGCATCATATAGTAACAATACTTAGGTTTCAGAGTCTTAGAAAGACTTTACATATGGATATTAAATATGACCATCACTTGCTAATTGCTGTGTTATTGAGAAAACAAGCATAAAATGTCCCCTTCCTCAAAGACGTGATGGTTTTTGTGCATGCAGTGCCTTCACACAAGTGTTTTGCAGATGTTAAGATCTCTCAAAGTATAAAATCATCATGCATTAGAAAATGGGGAGATTTGTTCATCAGGGCAGTGGTAAGGGGCATGTGTGACTCAGTGGGCTATATTGTATCATTTACTCTATTAACGAAGTCGGGGATTAATCTGATCATTTCACACTGATTTTCTCAAGCATCGACACAGTAGTTGATTGGTATGTGTTTCTCTTTTCTTCCTACCCTGATGCTAAGGGGAATGTCTGTGCTACGAAGGTTACATGAAGGACCCTGTCCACAAGCATCTTTGCATTCGGAATGAATGGGGAACAAACCAGGGGTAAGTGAGACAGCATGTCGGAAGACAGCATGTCGGCGGTTCCTATGTCACTGCTTTCTCTCGCAGGCACGATGGGAGTAACTGTGCACAAAGAAGTAGACTTCATGGGTGCTTGAATTCTGAACAGTCTGTAGTAAAAATGTCACTGTGCCTTTCCATAGTCATGCCATGCCGATGACGTCCATGCCATATATTCTTCCATTTATGAGTCAGGAGATGCTGCCTCTGACTCGCAGCCCTGCAGCCTCCAGCTGGGATCTGAAAATGAAGCTGCCTTTCTCTTGCTTTTCACTCCACCTCCATCCACGAGAATTCCACAGGCAGAACTTAGCTGGTGATTTTGTTGGAGACACGTGAAGCCATACAGATTCTGCTGTAGCTCTCTTGGAGCTTGATGAGTCCTTTGAGAGACTAACAGGCCTCAAAACATGTTGCTGCCGGCACTGTCAGCAGGTGTGACATATGAGACTCAGGAAGTGCTCTGTGCTTACGAAGAGTATTTCTGCCCGATCCCCAGTTGCCATTTCTTTGTATGACTTTTACTTTCTTGAAACTACATGTGACTTGGGAAAAGTAGTTACTTTGTCTATTGCCTATTATTATTATTATTATTACTATTTTATTGTAATAAAACATACATGTCGTAAGTTTACCAAGTTAATAGGTTTTAAGTCTATGAGACAATGAAATTAAGTAAACATATATCATTAGAGAGCCATCACCAGTGTATATTTTATGTTGTCACTTTTAAAAGCAATTTTTGTGTCTTGTTTTGAATTCTGAGAGTTTGCGTTCCGCATTGGGTAAATGGTGGGAAGGATCAATAAATGCTAACTATTAATAGCAATCAGTGGACTAGGGAGAATCAGAAGGAAATTGAGGCAAGACTTGTTGGTAAGTGATTTCCTAGACTGAAAATTCTGTGTTTGCAGCTTGACAAAATGGAAAAAAAAATTAATCAGTGCCATTGCTGACATCCCCATAGAGACTCTCACTCCCGGGCCCATGATCAACACCTTCGATGTGATTCTGATGAACAAAACCTAGACCCTAGACTTGTCTGTGTAGTTCTGACTTTCAAAGCAATAAATACGGTGACAAATGGGTGAGAGTTTGGAGAAGAGCAATAAAAGTGATTGAGGAGCCCAAGGGAGTGATTTATGATAAGGGGAGAGAAGAACTCAGCTCCGATGACTTAGCCAGCCAATGACTAGTCAAGGCTTGATAGATGCTCATAGACGTGGAAGAGGCCAAATATTCTGGAACTGGTTGAACTTGAGGGATACGAACAAGAGTAAATGAAGTTAGGAAAAGGAAATCTGAGTCACAGGTCAGAAAAGTTAGGGAAGTCAACATATTCTTGTGTTAGTGAGAATAACAATTCTTGTGTCAATGAGAAAAAAGGATGGCTTTGTGGAAATGGAACCTGTGCTCTCAGCAGATAGGCAGCCCACAGATTTTTAAAGGGAAGTGTTTGGTGAGAGAGTAGAGGACTTGGCTAATAGATGCCAAGTGAGGTGTGAATATAGAACAACAGTCACTATTTAAATTCTTCATTGTGCCCTGACTCTCATCGCTGCCGAGCGGTTGGCACAGTTGCTATGGAGCCAGCCCTTTAGCTTATGTGATGGCCGAGAATCTCAGCTGACCACAATTCTTACGGAGTAAAATGTTGTAAAAGGTGATGGATAACCACCTCTCTATCTCATAGCCTGCAATCTTGCCACTGAAGAAAACAACTACAAAATATCATTTCACGTTTCCTCTAAATGATCCAGCCTAGCCCTCTGCAGTGATTGCATGTGGTGCTTAATCGCTCAAGCCTCCCCATCCCTAGCCTGGCAGACATAGCGTGTGAGGATGGGCCTGACTTCACTTGGTAATTGCAAAGCCTTTGTTATTCCCTGTGGCTGGATGTAGAGACAGTCTTAGGATGCAGACAAGAGCCCCCGGGGGGAAATGTTAGAGGTCCCAGCACTGGTGTCGTTTGGAACAAGACAGACTAAAGCACCGAGCGGCAGACTGACAAGAACATTAGCCCCAGGAAATAGACAAAGACACCTAATCTGTCATTTCCATCTCGAATTTCCATTATTCTATGATCTTCACTGTCTACGAGGTCTCATTGTGGACACTAATAAAATCATAGGGTAACTATTAGGAGGAAAGAGAGGAGTGAGTGTCTTGAGGACATTGGAGCAGAAGTGATAAGCAGCCTGAGTTTATGTTTATAAAACAATGCCAGACAAATGGGTGCATTTTTTTTCCTCCTGAAATAAAAAGATAAGTGAAAAGTAGAAGATGCCATACATCATGATTTAAATCAGGGTACCGAACTAGTGCCATGTTTCTTTAGATGATTTTCCAGAAATTATTCGAGATTGGTTTGAATATAAAGAATGCCACTTGAGTTGAAAACTGACAGATTTCCAAATAATGATACATATTGGAGAGCTATGGAAAAAATCAATGATAAACCTTATTTTCCTGGATTTTTTTTTATGTTCTAGACAGTGAAGGTGAGTAGCCAATATAAGGGGTACTGATATTACTCTGCAAACATTCTGATAGGACCTACGTTAAGACTGAAGTAGGTTCATTCTAAGCAGAGAAACCAAATCCAGGTCTGGCAAAAGTCTTTTGTGAGAAATTAAGGTTGATATGCCACGGAAAAGTGGCAGAAAGGCATTTGTGCCTTTCAGACAAGGAAGAATGTCAATAAAGGGCATTCACACAAAAAGTTACAAATGGATGCTTCTGTAAAGCAGAGAAGTTGCATCTGAAACTTTATACAGCAGCAGTCTGCCTCTAACTCATACAGTCGTGTGTATGTGTGTGTGTGTGTGTGTATCAATATGTAGTGTCCATATAATAGTACAGTGTGTGAGTATGTGTGCATGAATGACAATTTGTTTATAGAATGGCTCTCTCGTCTATCATTTACTCTTTGGTTTAATTGTGTTTTCAGCAGATGTTCACCTCATTACTCTTCAGGTCTGCTTAGGAACAAGGTGGAGTGTATGTTCTGGGAGAACTAACAGTCCGGTTAGGAAAATGGGTATATAATGAACAATTGCAATGAGTTTCAAGACCTACCAAAAGAAAGATTTTGAGTAAAGGTCAATGAGAGAATCCTTAAGGGGTGACTTAGGTAAGGTTGAAGAACTGGAATAGAGTTCATGAAGAAGCCAGACGTTTTAACTGTTCTATTTGATAGATAGGGACACGAGGAGCTTGAATTTCCAGGAATGGTAGAAAAGTAGCTCCATTTAGTTTAAAAGTGTCTTGCCCATGGCCAAGAGAGAAAGCTAAAATGGGTAAAAGTTAGCTCTCAAAAGAAGTCTTACTTACTGAAGCTTCAGGCACTAAAACCTATTTACAGGATCCTAGACCTGTTAATAGAGGGTAAGTTCTTAAAGAAGTTGTGTATCCTCTTCATACACAAGTAATTTGAGAACCCTTTATGATGAACTCAAATAATTGTACACACACACATACACACTCACACACACACAAATACAGAAGCTCAGAACCTATTAATATTGTCTGGATTTCATTTATCTAGATTCTTAAAGTAAAATATAATCCTGAAACTTTCCCCAAAACAGACAGAAAAGAATATCTAAGAATTAGAAAAAGCCTATATCTAAAGTCTGTTAATGATTTGCATTGCAATAGTCTCGTATCTCAGTCCTGCCAGCAATGCCCAGGAAATAGCAAGCAAACTGGGACATTTATGTATTGATCTAGTAAAGTCAGCTGCTGTAGCTTGCACAGGTGAAGAGGTCCAGGTGAAAGAGTATAGGATCGTAGAATTCATTGCATAAGAAGAAATTTTTCACTAAAAATAAAAACTCAGGACTATGTAAGCAAAGTTTCTAATGGTTTATTAAAAAAAAAACATGGGGTGTTTGAGGTTACATCCTTGGCCTTTGATGCTGGCAACAAAATCAAGCATTCTTGTGCTAACACTCTGTATGAGTCAACCACCAGGGAGAGAACCCTGGTTGACGTGTCCTAAGCAGTGCATAGTTACTGTGTCTTTTGTCTTTCCTGTGGGAGTTTTCCAGGTAACTCCTTGCCCTCCCATATCTGTGGCTGCAGGACACAGCCAGCGCCTCTTAGAGTCTGCATTTGATAGCTGTTTACCAGGACAGCAAAGACAAATTGAAAATGTTCACAGACGAGAAATGAAAACAATAAATGAGGGTGGAAGAAACAGGAGAGATTGATTTACATGAGAATATCAGAGAAGAAAAGAGACACCCAAATTTATTTAGATACTTCGGAGTTATTAAGAAAGACCATAATAATGGCTTTTTGTTAAATTAAAAGTGTACTCAAGGGCCTCTAGATACATCTTTCAGAACACCACAATTAGATTAAATTCATGCTTTTGGAGATTCCTGGTAAATAATAGTCTGATTACTTATTCTGGCATCTCTGCTGCAGAGGGCAACACCAAGGAGATTCTCCAATAGAGAAATATAAACTAGCATTGGGCTTTAATGCTGAAGGGTAAAGACAGAGTGATAACTCATGAGGTGGGGCAAGGCCTGCTGAGAGAAATGAGCAGGTGTTTTCCCGAGGATTTAAAAGCTGTTGTCAGGCATGACCCTGGTGGCAGAGTGCTCCTCTCCCCATGGCTGCCCAGCGAGATGACACCTCTCACAGAACATCCTCAGATACTGACTCAATAACTCATATATGGTCCACACTGTCTTGAGATGGCCTCGTCATTGTCCCGGGTGCTTATGTTCTTCTGTTTCTGCAATGGACTCGTTCTTATTTATCCAGTGGTTACTGCTTAGGCAGGAAATCCAATCTGATAAAGATCAGTGTCCTACAAAAACCCATGAAATCTAGTGTGTGTGTGTGTGTGTGTGTGTGTGTGTGTGTGTCTGTGTGTGTGTGTGTGTCTGTGTGTGTATACTTGTATGGATACATTGTATGTGCATATACACATGTGTGTACTTTCACGAGAAGGCCAAAGATTGACA